TTCCTTTCGGATCCGGCTGCCCCCCATCCACAGCAGCATCTTCTCTGATTCAAGCCGGGCGGCTGCACATAATCGTTCCTTTGTGTCCCCACTGAGTGTCTTTTTTTACTTTCTTTCAGAAAACAGAGGGATGAGGACATGAGTAATGGGGACAGATGCAAATGTGGACAAGGCAAGTGATTTGGACTTTTTTGTCCGCGGTGCAGTGATACAGTAGCATTCATTGTTGATCTGAGTGGTGGAACTCGAGTTTCTTTCTTCTTTTTCTTTTTTTTCAATTAAAAATAACCAGATTGGGTCATACACAAAAATCAACTCACGTTGCCATGCTCCCTTTCGGACAGATGCAAATGTGGACAAGGCAAGTGATTTGGGCTTTTTTGTCGGCGGAGCAGTGATACAGTAGCATTCATTGTTGATCCGAGTGGTGGAACTTGAGTTTCTTTCTTCTTTTTCTTTTTTTTCAATTAAAAATAACCAGATTGGGTCATGCACAAAAATCAACTCACGTTGCCATGCTTTCTGTTTTTATTTCACAACAGTGAGATCTGAGCCGAAGTTAGAATTACAGGGTGTAGCTGTCTAAAAGTGAACTGGACCATACTTTTTGGGCCAGCAGACCAAAGACTGCAGATACATTTCCAGACACACAAACAGCTTAAAAATCGAAAGGTTTTAGAACCATGCTCTGCATCATGCTCTGCTGCAAAACAACAATGTCTTCAGCAAGAATTAAGCGAATGTGCAAAGTGTTCACATTATGGTTCAGCAAACAACCTGTCGTGGGACACAATCACATGCGCCAACTCATACTCAACTTATAGATTTGCTTCGACGCAAGTCATCACCAAAACCAAAACACATATGACATAGCGGTGATGAGCTCCTGCCATTTCTGACTTCACACCAAATGTTTGGAAACAAACAATCAAGCAGCCGTATTTATTTGATGGAACAAAGGTTCGGGTGTGTGAAAGTGTCTTTTGAATTGTTTTGTTGTGACCCAGAAAGAGCTACGGTCCGACATTACAATGCTCTATTGTTTGTGGGCCAAGTCTCCGCTTCCTGCATCCACACATAACATCGAGAACTGTCCAAACAAAACACAGGAGGGCCCATCTTTCATGCACTGTCTTCCTAAAACCATCTTGCCACATACGTACAGTCATCAATCATCACCATCGTCATTATCCAACTATTCGGTCTCACTATCTGATGAATTGCCACCGGCTTTACATCTGGATTTCATGAGAACGCAAATGTGAACTGAAGCTATTTGCCGATGCAGGAGCCGGTTCCCTTAAACCCAAGTGGAAATGATTCCAAGTGATGAAGAGCGCTGCTGTGGATTCAGCACAAAAGTCATTATTAAACCTCTTTTTTTTTTTTTTTCTTACTCCCGGAGAACTGAACTTTCGAAACGAGTTTCAGTGTCTGGAAGGAGTTGAAGCTTCTTGGCATCTTGCATGATTTGTGAGAGAAATTTCCTGTGAAAACCCTCAGTCAGACGTTCCTCATCCTGTTTAAGGAGAAGTCTGTCCCCTTCCACCTCCTTCTCTGTCCTCCTTAAGCTTCATCTTTTGACCTCTCTGGCAACGATATCAACGTTGGAGAACTGCTTTCTTCCAAACACAAGTCGAACGTGCATGAAACGCTAAGCCATCAACTGAGAGACCAACTGCATCTCCCTCCTCTTGTCTGGTGGTCCGCCTGCCTCCCTTCGCATTGGCCCTTCTTCACAGAGGGCCCGAGATGTTGCAGCTGCTGTCGCCAGATTGAAATGACTCACAAATATTTCCTCTTTTCTCTTCTCAAGGCCCAAACCCACTCAACTGCATCTCCTGTTTTTTAATGTCCACACCGCATCTCTCTTATCTCACGCCTTGGTCATTTTGGAATATCTTGGGTCTCATCACATCATATTTGTAATCATAATCATATTTAAATCTTCCGCTTGACATGGGGGCGGCCAGCGGGGGTGGCCGGAGAGCCAAGTAGCTCCATCCCTGATGTTCCAAAGATTAGAGAGGACCTTTACGGTAACAAAATGATTCGGAACACATTTCGGCCACTACTGACGCATTAACAACTAGCAGATGTACCTAAAGTTGTGTTGGAAACACAGGCACACACACACACGCAAACACGCACACACATACAGCGTTGTAGCATGGGCATAAAAGATCGCATAAATCTCAGGAATGGTGATGACTGGAGGAAAACAAGGGTCATGACGCAGATGGGAGTTTTCAAAAGAGGTCAATGTCATGGGGCTGAATGGAGGTCAAGGGTGACAACATGGCGGATGTTTTCCTTACAAAAAAATGAATTCAAATGCAACTACTGTCTTACTGAAAATCTCAGAGAGAACTCATGAGGTAACATATTCCTAATCATTTTCATCCCACCCCCGACTTTCTCTGACTCCTCCCCCTCTTCCTCTCCATCGCTCTCTTTCCACTTGCCACCGGCATAGCCGACGTGCAGCTGCTCTGTACTGATGCAAACTTCATGTGCATACGGGAATACAGACAAGCCAAAGGACGAGCAAAGTGAAAATAGGAGAAATTGCATTCTTCGTGAAGGATTTTTTTTTTTTTTTGTATCCCGTAGGTAAGAAAATGCAGGAAAGCAATGCATGCAAGATGTTTCCAGCATCATTTAATAACAACCACTAATGGCAAATGCAAGATGGTGGTGGAGTTACTATAAAAATAAAATATAGAATTTGTAGAGCTACTTTAAAACAAATGCTTTTGTATGTTTACCTCTTCTTTGGTAATTTGGCATGCAAGTGCGAAAAGGTCAAGGGCCCTAGTACCGTACTCTGTGGAGACAAATTGCCTCTTATTCTTATAAAGGCAGTACAAGCCAGAGATTGGAACCGATCGCAATTGCTGCGTGCTCATGTTTAACTGTGTGCAAAGTTCATAGTTGAAGCCTGATGAAATCTCCTTTTTGGGAAAGTGTGTGTTCTCACAGACTGCGGGGAAGTAAAAGTAATGCCATCCGTCACAAATGAATACCTTCAAACGAAGCTCAAGTGAGTTAATTGCAACGCTAAAGGTTGTCGAGTGCATGGGCATCAATTACGCAGACGTTTCAAACACGACTTAGTTTGACAGCAACGTTCGTCGACACAGTCGCTTTCGGGTTTCAGGAACTACGCGCCGGTGTTTGTTTGCTCGGTGGGCATTTGGAGAAGCATTTATTTATATGCGCTTTGTTCGGCCACGCTATTGAAATGTTGTATGTGTTTGCAGTTCACTGTGGCTTGGCCTTTTTTCCGCTCATTTCTGTTGACTGAAGTCGCTTGTTTTAAAAAAAAAAAAAAAACGTTTCTAAACCACTGAGGGATGGCAAAGATTAAAGAGATCACGAAGATTGATGAGGGTACTTCGTCTCCTGCTTTCATGCATTCAGTTGTCATTTTTCTTCAAAATGTTATCATCAAACAACTTGACGCATTCACATCATCATCTATCAAGCTCTGCTTTCAGTGACCTTTTGTGTGTTTGTTTGCTCGGTTATTCACCAGCGGTTTTGGGAAACTTTGTCCAGCCCATTCAGTTTGGTTGCCATTCCAGATAAAGGATTTTTTTTCCCTACACTGTTGTCGTTAGATGAGGACCCTTGCAACATTTGATTGACATGTATTAGATGAGCAATGCATGAATCGTGATGAAAAATACAGGCAATTGGGACAATCGCACCCTGAGCTATTCGCACTCCTGCTGATGACTTTGTGGCTCACTAGCAAAACGTGTTTCTTTCACAGGACGTAATCATATGGGAATATTCAATACGGCAATCCCTCGCGATATCGCAAATTCATGCCCTCGCATTGGGGAAAGGAGAGCTACAGAAAAAACACGTGAGCGCACTCATGTACAAACTGCTGTTGGTCACTGCTCACGAGCAGACATTCACACGCAGACTCACCCACGTCACGTGCCACTCCACTGGGCCCCGCCTCTTAAAGACATACATCTAACACACAGACACGACAATATAAGCACAGTATTTGTGTGTCTTTTTCATGAATGTAACTTGACTAAAGATTTGTAAGCATGTGTGAGGGGTAAAAACATTTTTTAGTTTTGCATTTGGTTTCTCAATATTGTGGATTTTTAGCTATCGTGGGTGGATATGTTGCTGATTTTACTGTGCTCTATATTCATATGACTGCAGTAACCTCGGAGAATAAGACGTTTGATACGTGGTGCTCTAAACCAACCCATGAAGATGTAGTAGGCCAGGAAATGTTTTGCCACGTTTATCCTTGTAAAATGAGCGCTTGTGATATTTTGGATCCATGCATAGTGATCAGGGTTTTCTGACCTCAACCATATTTAGCTGGTGCTGCACAGTAAAAGGACCAGTGGCCCTCTGGTCCAGCGGAGGGACGCAACATTTGATGTCTGAGCCACTGGGATGAAACTTGCTCATCCTCTACTTTGGAGCCCAATGGCACCAGATTCATACAGTCAATGTGCCAGGACGGGGAGGGGTTGGCCGGCCGTGATGCCCGGCCTGGAACTGCGGCGACCTTTTGGGAAAATTAACAGATTTTCCCTGAAATTCCCGATGGCCACTGAAGTAGCCCATCCCAGAAGAAGCAAGCCCAAAACATGACAATCAAGTCTTGTGTGATTCCGTCACTTCTTCCCTCTGTTGATGTTGTGCTTTACAGCTCTCAAAGATGTGTCTCTTGTTGTCGGCTGTTGTTTTCCTTGGTTTAGTCAATCTGGAAATAACATCTGAAATGTGTTTCTCTCATAATCTATTCTGACCGTTACAAAACTTTGTTTGTTTTGTCTCCGAATCTCCGGATGGTTTTATCTGATGGCTTTGAGAGATGACATCTGCTCTGCTTAGTATGTGAAATCGTTCAGGCAGTTTATGCGAAACAAGGTTGTTGGTGGAATTATAAATTACACATTGAGGAAGACTTACTGTTTTGTAATCGGATGATTGCGTGAAGGAAAACAGATTTTTAAGAATTCAAAGAGGAAACTTGGCAGCTGTCGTATTTGACAGCAGATGGCTAAAATACACCATTTGAGAATGAAAATGTTTGTATTGTTTTCTTCTCTGTATCTTATTTTTGAAAGAAAACAAACCACAGCAATTTAATGAGAGGCTCAGTGGATCTCATGATGAGGCTCGTTACAAAACCGACATCACCAATTCCATTACTCTATTCAGTGAAACAACCCAAGGTGTGTTTTTAAGCCCCGTTTGCATTGGTAATACTTTCACTCGGACAATATCACTTAAAGGAGCAGAAACGACTATTTTGTGCTACATTCTCGCCTTTGGTATTGCCGTGAGACCGCACAGACCACATCAACCAGATGCGTGATTTATTTTTTTCTTTATCAAAGTCATGTCTCGGATATTTTTGGCTGAGGTCTGCCCTCCTGAGTGATTTTCTAGTGAATTTGTAAAGGCATACCCAAATCATCTATTGGATCTTATTAGATGATGGAGGTGTAGCTAATGTTTTTAAGCTGGTCTGGGTGTGTTAAGCATCTTTTTTAAAAAGCAGGACTTCCTGTTATTTATTTATTCTTTTTTTATCCAGACTGTAGTGTTTGTCTCCCTTGCCAATGTTTACCTGCCTACTACCTTCGCATGCTACACTGGCCTTAATCTCACATGGATCAGAAGCAGCCGTGCAGGCAACAGCTCGAATCCATTTAGCCTCTCGATACAAATGTTCACATCGTTATAGCCGTGCCGACACATCTACTCGTCCCACGACTGCTTCACATCAACGGCAGCGAACGGCCGTTTTCCCTTTTGGAAATTTGGAACATCTGAAAAATGAGGGATTAGTTGAAGATTTACTAACGGTAATCCAAGGTCCGAGCAAGTGCCCAGCAAGAGTGGCACCTTGCTCGACGTGTTAAATCACGGCTTGAACTGGCCAGCAACTTGAGCTCCACTGACTTCCTCTCCCCGGTGGCATTAATCCAATACTCTGACCCGCAGCGGTCACGTGATTGCGGCTTACAACTCTTGTGCATCCAAAAAGAACGGACACGCACGCGGACAAAAACAAACGCACGCAGCACACCTGCGATGTTACTAAGTGATGCATTGCTCCAAATTATGCTCATTTACTTTTTTCTCATGACTAATTTTACCCATTACTTTTTGCAGTCAATCAGATTACAGTCATGTAACAAATAATACTCAATGACATCAAATGTACCTTCGTGGGGAGGTGATGTAACATATTGGTCGTGTCACGTCCATACCATACCACGGAAACAGCGATGGAGGAAGGAGGGAGATTTGCGTTTTCAGGCTGGAAGGAGAATAAAAACAGCAATGTTAAGATTTGTTGCATATTGTGCTGTCGACAGAGTGTTATCAAGCTTCAATAACCCGACGGCAAATTAAAAAAAAAAAAAAAAAGAAAGAAAAACACGGATTGTAACAGAGTATGCATTCCCACCAGACTGTGTGGCTGCCATTATAAGATTGAGAGTAAAAAAATACTTTATTTTATATTTAATTAAAAATGTATTAAAGTAAAAAAAAAAAAAAAACAATTTAAAAAAGCATTTTTGCTTTGTGCAATGCAAAAAAGACAAAGCTATAAATAACATTATGGTTGTTTCTTTTTTCTCTCTCTCTCTCTGCAAAATACTGTCCATAATAAAAGTTGAAAGCATTTTAACTGCTTCTTTAGTGTGGGAACCTTTTTTTTTCATCACAGGGGCAGGAAAGTACAAAGAAATTCTTGACACATGTTGCATCCTTTAGACGATAGGATGGGTGAAACTGTTCCAAGCATTCATCCTGACCATATGCTTGACATGCTGGGCGTGTTTTGTATTAGTTTGTCAATCTGCTCTTTGTTTATATTCCCTTTGTTGGCTGAATGAAAAGAGAGGAGCCCCTCGACCTGGAAACCACCAGAGAAGTAAGTGGATTGAAGACGGCAGAGAGCAAGTGAGGGAGTCACAGTTGGGGGGGGTGGTAGACAGAAGGGTTTAAGAGCTAATCCAACTCACGGTCAATCCCAAAGTAGCCTTATCTTTCTGCCAGGGAGACTCAGACAGAACAGTGACAGGATTGTCGCTTTTCTCGCATGTTTTTCAAAGTGGAGTCACCCATGCCAACTTTTTTTGTCTTCTTCTCAAAAGTGCCGGCGTTCCTGGGGTGTGAAGGAGTTCCGGGAAAGAGCGGACAAAGCGACTTGGTGACAAGGATGGCGCCGCGCACGGATAAACCTCTTCAGATGATGCATGACGCTGGGCCCACCCTGCTGGATGCGGAATGACTCACCCAAATTTCTCTCAGGAAGTGAAGACCTTTTGAAAACAAAGGACCCTCTGCCAGTAAGTGACGTGACCTTGGGCGAAGGTGCCGCGCGTTGAGGATGACTTGCTTGAAACCCGCATTGTGGAATAAATGGGTAGGAGTCGGATTAACAGATCAATGTAGCCGCCGTTAAATAAAGATGACGCAGGGAATAAATGAGCACATACAGTACAGTATAGTTAGCATACTTAGGTTCTTTGCTACTTCTTCCTCAAAAACTGTTGAGGTACTTTGTGCAAAGACGGGGAGCGCAAGTGGGTGGAGAAGCCAAAACTGAGGAGTACTGTTTTTTTTTACAAACAAAAAAGCCACGATAAATGGTCTTAAATTCACTTTTTTTTTTTTTTTTTTTTTTTTTGTGCAATTTAGAAAACGGGGGGGACCCCC